AAAAGCCCCTTCATTGTCGCCAGGTTCCTCATCATCATTGCCGTTCTGGTCAGTTGGTGGTTCTGTTGGTTTGTGGTCATCGCCTGTTGGGTTGGCACTGTTGTAATCGTCGGTGATGGCTGCTGGGGTTGGTGCCGAATGCGTCGATGGCCGTTGCACTCGCGAGATGTCGTTCATTTCGGAGAGGTTTTCAGTTCCGACGCTCATGGATTTGTTATTTTGTGTTTCTATCCCTGTTTGGAAGTGACACAGTCGTTGGTTTTCCGACAAACACCAGAAAACCAGTATCATGGCACTCACAGAATTGGAAACACAACTGCCATAGACGTCTTCTTCATCTTTTAACAACAATAATCACAAAAATAATATTAATATAAATATTACAAAACAAAAGACAAAAATTATTTAGTAAAAAGAAAATTACTCAACAGGCAGCGGCAACGCAGAGACTGATACTACGGTGCCTGGAAGGCGTTTCCAACTGGTGTGTTTACCGGGTCCAAAAAAGTGGTCCCTCGATTTCTGCCTGATGATGTCATAGAAGTGTCATGCTGACACCGGTCGCGAACCTGGCGGCGTCCCAATAGCTGTGGTGTATGCGGCAGATGCCTGTTCTGCTGCAGGTCGCTCTCCAATGTGACAGTCCACGGAAGCTAAAGCGGCCGGAAGTTGGGATGCCTGGAACGCCGTGACGACAGCGACGCTCGCGTTCGCCTGTGGTTTTCGCCAGCATTTCTACGACCAACCGCCAGGATCGAGACATGCAACAGCATGACACTCCGGCTTCTGTGACGTCATTTGTTGCCACCAGGGATGGGCAGTATTTCAAATACAAGTACTCAAAATACGTATTTAAAATACTTTGTGAATTTTGCATTTGTATTTAATTGAAAATTGGGTAATGTATTTGATGTGTGTATTTAAATACTAAAACGTGGGTATTTCAAATACAATTGTAAATAAATACAATTTTGTGGGCGAAAATACATCCCTCAAACGCTAGTCCAGGGCAAGAACAGTGACGAAATCGACGTTCACAGGCAGACTGGCTAAATAAGTGCCTGTGACAAGTTGTGATGCTTTCAAGCCTGATTTCCATCCATATTTTTGCCTGGAACATTCTAAATGTGCGGGTCGTCCAGATTTTTCGTAACTGGTGCGAGTTGCAACAATAAAAAATTCTCTAGCTAGTGCTGCGCGTCTTGGTCGTCTCGGTTCTTTGTTGGTCTATACCAAAATGTAATCGACAAAAAAAGCTGCCTGAAGCTCTGTACTTTTTTCACCTATTACGTCCAAGCTTATTACATTTTTTTTGTGATTATATTTTATTACGTTACTAGAGCCTCGCACACTAATTCCCAAGTATGCGATGCAAAATGAAAATGAGATACCCAAGAACCCGTTGCAGGTGCCCTGAAGTCGCTGACGCAAATTTTGAGGAATGTATTTGGAAAAGTATTTGAAGGAGACCAAATACATTTGGTTGTATTTGTATCTTGTACTTAAATGCTTTTTTGGAAATGTAATTAGATTTGTAATTAAATTCATTTTTGATGAAGTATTTTGTATTTGTATTTTAATACATATTTGCATTATTTTACCCATCCCTGGTTGCCACTTTGGGACCACTTTTGATGTATGGGTGGTCCCAAAGTGGCAACGCTAAACACACCAGTCGGAGACGCGCTCCAGGCACCATACCGATACATAGACGTCGAGATTTGTGGTGGCTACACTGGTCTAAAGCAACTGGACTTGAGAAAGTGGTGAAATGTTGCCTGGCAAACGAATATAAAAGAAAACATTAAATGTCTGGCTGAGCGAAAATTGACGCGAAAATCTAACCTTATGAAGGAGCTAAGTCAAGTCTATAGCACTCTTTGCAACCTTACATATATTGAATGCTATACACACCAGTTAGAGACGCGTCCCAGGCACCAAATTTGGGGCTTTACATGCTAAACCCACTAAACGCATCTAGAATGCTTCAGCGGAGGATTAATTTCAACCACCTGAGCATCTTTTGACGAGCAAACCGAAATCTTGGTTATGTGCAACTTTCTCTACAATGAGCCTCCGTCAGACTACGGGCACCTTGGCCGGGATCCGAACCTGCCACCTGAGGATCTGTAGGCCGATGCCTTGCCTCAGAACCTTGCCTCGGAGTTCTAGGCACCATACTATTGATGTAGCTTTCAAAGGACTCATCCAAATATTTATAAGCAGAAGCTTTACTGAATAGATGAAGACCCCACACAAGACTTAATTAAGAAATACAAAACGAAAAATGCAGAAGGTAAGAACAAATGACTGGAAACAAAAGATCAACTTCCTTCACTGCTAAACATTTTTTATAAACAAGCCGACTTTTCGTTACCATTTCATCGATACAAGAACAAAATAAAAAAAAAGAGAAAAACTCTTATCCACAATGAAGTAAGTTTTTGGGAAGCAGAATTTTTGAACTCTCGTGATGTCAAAAGATTTACACTGAACATATGCCTACCGTAAAATCCTGAGAGATAGCACCCCTAACATCAAGAGCGAATCGGCTGAAAATATGGAGTGGGCTAACTTTCGGTGGCCAAGAAAAATTCCAAAACATTGCTATTTTTAGGTCATGTCCCTTCCAAGCTTGTTATGGTAGTGAGGGGCAATGAAGCAAAGATGACTGTACTTCCAAGTCAGTAAAGTTAGCTTACATCCCGCCATAGCCAACTAGCCGCATTTACGCCGAGGCCATCATTGATCCCAACAGTACTACTAAAAATAGGCTATCTTTCGGCGTTTAAGAAAATACAGGAAATCAAGCCAAAAATAGGGGTGGGCTATCTTTATGGGGTGGGGCATCACTCAGAATTTTACAATGCTTTTGTGCCGGGTGTATCTCGAAACAACCCATTCCGATTTGAACCCATTCGCGAAACACCATTCGCGTTTTAACAACCCTTTCTCATTTATATTTGTCTCATTTGAACCCCTTCAGATTTAAACCATTCTCGTTTTAACCCATTCGCAAAACGCCATTCGCGTTTTAACCTTCCGCGTTTCGACCCTTTCTCATTTGAAGTTGCTCTCATTTGAACACAATATTTGAACAAAAGACAGTGAGGCACAGAAAGGAGGAGGAACAGTTGAGAGATGAAGGTTGAAGATGAAGCGAAGCTGGTACATAGGTGCTGTGAAGTGGCACCATATCGTGCATAGCCCATGAAACAATTTTTCTTATACCTGCGTGCTGCCCCGAGTCTGTTGACGTAGCTACCTGGGCACATGGTGACGTGATTTCAAGAGTACTAAATTTCTCCTCTGGCGTTGTCGATGTCGTTAATTTGTCGTCTTGTGGAGCGGATGGATCATTGTGCTCGCCGTGAGTTACTGCTTCTAAGCACTGCAGAAAGATTGTGAGATCATGATGTTGGGTTCATTCGGGTTTGGTGGTCACGTCGAGAATGCGAGTATTATAAGCATACTTTTTGAGATGAGCACGTCTACATTGGGGGCTATTCATTGCTCCAATGCTGGGGGTTGTGCACGCCATAACGCGTTGGGAGCTGCGACTATTTTTTTTTCGAAATGTGCAGGTGCGGATGTTGCGTGGCTTGAGGGCTTTCTTACCAGGCACAGCTTTTTTCCTTCATTTCGGTCGCAAATCATTGGATACAAATTATGCACATCTGGCATGCCCTGTGAGGATATCGAATTATTTATAACCAGTGTCAGAGTGGTCCTACAGATCTACGATCATTGTATATTTGCCTATGTGTCGTCCGTCATGCCGTGGATTGGCATGACCTCTAGATGTCATTTTCCAAGGTGCGTTTCAAGGGGCAATAAAGCTTCAGGTGCCTGGACTTCATAATATCATTGGTTCCTTTATTTTGTTTTCGTGTGAGTGTACAATGAAATTATTATTTTTCCCTGGCCTGATCATGTACACGGTCAAAGTGAGAGAAGTCGTTTTAAAAATGGTCAAAACCAGGAAGTATGTTTTTAGTAAGTTTGAAATGAGAAAGGTTAGTATGAGAAAAAGCATCTTAGAGGATGGTCAAAACCAGAAAGTATGTTTTGAGAAAGTTCGAAAGGAGAAAACTAAAAATGAGAAAAGTTGTTTTGAGAATGGTCAAAACCCGAAAGTATGTTTTGAGAACAATTTAAGTGAGAAAGGGAGGAAAGCGAAAGTTGTTTTGCGCTGGGTTGAAATGAGAGGGTGAAAACGAGAAGGTAGAAATGCGAACAGGTTAAAATAAAAGTGCTTCCAGTTTTATTTTTTTTTTTTTAGTATTTATTTTTATTGTTTTCTTGTGTCAGCAAATCTAAACATAATTAAGAATTAAAACCTTGAGACAAGGAAAAAAAAATGTAAATGACAGCTGTATGCTGTGCTGGTTTTGAGATGGTGCTGTGTATGTCCCCTTTTTGTGACCCTGACTCAAGGTTTTAATTCTTAATTATGATTGTTCACCAGCTTGCCTGCATTTTGACTATTATTTCAAATCTAAACACATTCTTTGTGCTTCAATAACGAGACCAGCGCTGTTTCTTGTGACAACAGGTCAAATATCTGTCGCAAATTAAGGAATTATATTTCAAACATTATATTTTTTCCAACGCTTGTGGAATTAATCTTTTGCCGTATATTTTTTTGAAGATGAAAAAAAAAATGTGATGATGACTTTTTTTCAAGCATGTTTTAACATTTTTATTTTTTTTTTCTAGAGAAGCATGTGCATTTAGTACGCACAAACATGCCAAATGTTTTTTTTTCCTCTGTAAGTATCTTTTTTTTTCAATAATTGTGTGTACTTCCTGCAAACTATGGATTGGAGGAAGGCTTTTGCTTCCCTACCAGGCCTGATCCGTGAGAATCCCAAATCAACTTCAATTCAATTTGAATATAGATGTTGAAAAAATGTCCCAGTGCACCCTTTTCCCACGGCCAGAACCAAACAACCCCCATTATGCTGGCCACACGACATGCTGCCACTTGACGTGCTCACCACAATGCGGAAGATGAGCCTGCAGTGCCAGAAGGTGGTGTGCCTCGAAGACTCGATGGCCTTGGTCAGGATCTGCTTGGCTGCCGCTGTCTGGTTCTGCGAATGGTCCTTATTCTTTTTTTCCACAATAAACTCCTCATATGGCGTCCCAGCAAGCATTACATTTTCTGGACTACACACGTTTAAAGTTGAAATATTAAATGGTTCAGACTATAGGGGGATTAGTTCTTTCTAGATTGGCCACTATGATGAGACGAAACATGTTTTGTGAAAAGCACCATTTGTAAAAATTAGTCGACTTCTCCTAATGCTATTACTTAAATTACTTAATACCAAACACGACGACACCTGCGGTGCACAAAAAATGCCAGTGTCCTCCTTCTCAGAATCTACATATTCTCCCAAGAGTTTTGTTTTTCTATCCGGCGAAAACATTTATGAAGTTGTTTATACTATAGATTAGGCAATGAAACATAAACGTCGAGTGAATTAAAAATGTTGACCAGCCACCCTCTGTCCGATCTCATCTGAAATCGTCCAGCTGCGGACTGTAACCGTTGTACTACCAGATGTGCGGGACACCCTGTCCAAGGTTTGGAACACCCTCGTGCACGACTAGAAATGCCTAGAGTGCCCAACTAAGTTAGTAATCAAAGTAGCGATACTTCGGCCATCGGATGGATGGATGGATCGCGATGGCTACACCCTTTGTAACGGGTGGCAGCTTGCACCACCTAGCCTATCTTGGCCAAGATAGCCTAGCCTATCTTGGCATTTTAAATCATTATTGCCAGCTACCTCAAGCTTTGTCTAAAATAGCAGGAACGGTCTGCCGCCCTTCAGAAATATTAAAAGGGACCAGAAAAGATCAAAACAGTATTCATCGAGCTTCCCAATGCCGTACTGCCATAAAATACCGAGCCTACGCCCATTCCATACTAAGCACACACCCCAAATTTAGCAACATCTGAAAAAATATGCACAGTACATATATAGGTAAAATTGATGACCTAACAAGCGCCCATTCTCCAATTTTTGCGATTATCTCCATATTTTGAAAGGGCACTTGCTCAATATTTTACGGTAGTCCAGGGGCCCTAATCTATACGGCAGTACCAAGGGACCGGGACATCACCGCCTGCTGTAATTGGTCAGCGACGCACCGCCGACCAATCAGAGCAGGCGGCGATGTCCCGGCCCCTTGGTCTCGCCGAGTAGTAGGGCCCCAGGAAGTCGCGTTTTCAAGTTGTAACAATCGCCAATTACGTCTGCTCTGCCCCGAGTCCCAAAATGGCGGCACCCATAAGGTCGGGGAATAAAGTGCAGACACTCCAGGCGTAGTTTATGCACCTGGCCTCACCCACCCTTTTCTCGTAGAGGTCCGCCAGGGCGTTCGCCGCTTGAAACTTGACGTCATCCAAGCCCGCGATCTGAGGCGACAGTTGGTAAAGGCGGCAATACCGCAGGCTCATGAGAGACCCCCAGCCCGGGGCAACCCCCAAGCGCTGGCCCACAAAAAGGATACATTCTGTGACAGGTACCACTGCAAAGAGAAGACAGCAAAAACGGGGCCACCGTTAGACGCACGTGCACCAAAAGGTTGTGCGCGGGCAGTCGGTGCGTGAGAGCGACACTTCATTTATTCAAATACCTACACCGCCTAGAAAAGCGTTATGGTAAGGTGGGCACATAGACAAAGAGGAAAACTGCACATTAAAACAGAAAAAAAAAAAAAAAAACTATGATTTTAAAAGTGGAAGCATTACAACATTCAAACACAAAGTTTAGATATATATTTGCGCGTTGTCATAAAACAGCTCTGACAATAGTATTTCAACAATGCCACAGGGCATTATGTTCGTCAACAATAGGCCCCAGAAAAAACAAAACATTTAAACAGATCAACTTTATGCTTGAACAGACAAATTTTTTTTTAATTATCTCTCCCATGTGACATTTTAGTAGATTCAAAAATATGTATTTATTTACAGATACCAGAACTGTTATGGAAAATATTATGTAAAAATTTCAGGCGGATGCGTCTTAGACCCAAAGGTTTCCAGCGTTGCGATGACTTTATTTCAGTTATACTAGCTCTGAAATCTCGATTTCCTGTAACAAACCTTGCGGCATGGCTCTGTATCTTTCCTACTTGATCAACTAGGTTATGCCTGAGAGGGCCCCAAACTGCACTCGCACATTCGAGCATAAGCCTCACGTGTAAAAAATATGTCAAAATACGCTGACCGAAAACGATTGTGTGCCATTCTCACCTTGTCAGTGACTATATTATTTATATTACACAGTCACTAATAATATGAAGGTGTCTTTGGGAAAGTGTAAAAATTGACAAGACTGCCGGAGGGAAAAACGTCTCTGTTCAGTGACAAGGTGCGAGTAAATGATGACTGGTCCATTTGGAAGTAGACAGAAGGCATGGAACTTCCTACTCTGTCACTGCCTGGTTCCTCCAATGGGCAGTCAATTCCCAGATAGTCTTGCAAATATAAGTCCGCGAAGCATCGGACCGAGGTTGAAGAATAGAAATAACAGAGAAGAGTAGACAGTGTGTCCCCCCCAAAAAAATATACCGATTTTTTTCACAGCAAAAAAAAAAAAAAAAAAACTATGTCTTGTTAAACGCCAATTTTCCACCCAAATGTAGCGACAACAGTCTGAACAAGATACCAAAGTATTGGAACTAACCGTTATCTCAATAAAAAGCTCAAGTAATTTTTTGAAAATTTTAATTGGAAAATAGGGCCCGTTTTCGGCAACTGGCGCCATTCGGCCCCATGTATTCGGGAGCGCCGTCGGTTGCCATTTTCCCATTGAAAGTTTCCGAAAATTATTTATAATTTTTCAATAAGTTAATGGCTAGTTCTGAACTTTGGCATCCGGTTTGGACCACTAGTGGCTACATCTGGGCAAAGAATGGACATTCGGCGATGCAGAGTTTATTTTTGTGATAAAAAAAAACTGCCCATTTTTTGGGGGGACACCCTGTACTTCTAGCAGAAAGAATAAAACATAAACAAGATAAGACACAGAAGGGCATATTCCTTCAACTCACAATGTTGTGAGTTTCTCTTGCTGTTTTACTCCTTCTGCTACAAGTATACTTATGCCAACACGCTTGTCACAATTATAATGCGGGCGAGTTTTTTCAACACTCCATTTACATGATGTTGAAACTTGGAACAATTTGAGCTTGTATTGTCAACCCATGATCATCACATCACAGTGATTCCCGAGACACGACTATGTGACCACGTCGACGACAGAACTTTTTCTGAAGAATGTAAAATATTTAAAAAAGATTGCCCTTTGCATGAAGGGGTGGGAGGGTTGCTGTCACATTAAAAAAATTATACTGACTCTGTGTTTTTCAGCCAAAGTAACAGATGATCACAACAGCTTGAAATTGAAGTAAGAGTTGGGCAGTATGCGAGGCTGCTCAACCCTCACGATAGCATTTTGGAAATACATTTTGTGTGGAAGAGAGCGCGTTGGAGATGAAATACAGAAGGCGCGAAACAGGATACACTCATATGGGTAGAGGAAAACACATGAAAGAGCTGTGTGTGTTGTCCTCAGTCCCTGTAATACCCGAGTCCCACGAGAGCGACAAACAGAAACAAACGACAGCGACAAGCCATGACATGAGCATGCTCGCAATGATCCTTTTGGCAGGCGTTTAGTCGGTCGGTGCTTGTGAAGTAAGCATGAGTGATTGCAAGCCTGCTAAAGATAACCGCGCGTGCATGATGCTTGTGTTTGAGCATAGCCACCTTTATTCTACATAGCCTGTCAAATCGCGGAAAATTCTGGTTCGAAATTTGTCGCTGTCGTTTGTTTCTGTTTGCTGCCCTAGTGGGACTTGGGCATAACAATTCAGAAGACAAACAAATAAGCAAGGTCGTTCTGTTTTTCTTGGAACTCATACGATACTCATAATGTGGTCCGGTGCAGCTGGCGAAGGCAGGAGTAGTCAAGAAAGAACATTGAGTAATTCTTCGCTTTGGGGGGGCTGCCAGTTGACCCGGCCCCCTTTTCCACCCTGTTTGGTCTGTTTGTGTGTGTGTGTGGGGGGGAATTTTTCCAGACAGTTTGGTACGACAGAAGCACTGCCTGAGCTCGCACTGACAATGTTATTGAGGTTGCTAGGAGTACAGTGTCTACAAGATGTCTTCCACTGGTGTGTTTAACGTCCTATCCCGCCAGCACACTAAAAGTGGTCCCAAAGTGGCAACAAATGATGTCACAGGAGCTGGCGCGTCAGGTTGTCGAGCGTCGCGATCCTGGCAGTTGGTGCTAGAAGTCCCGGCAAAAAGTATGAGCAAACGAGAGTGACGCTTTCATTGCGGAGTCTCAACTCCTGGTTGTTGAAGCTTCCGTGGACTGTCAAGCTGGAAGCGACCTGTAGCAGAAGAGGCATCTGCCACATCTACCACCTTTGCTGTGACACTGCCAGGATAGCAGTTGGCAGCAACATGACACTTGTATGATGTCATCAAGGGGAAATCGAGGGACCACTTTTTTGGAGGCGGTAAGCACACCAGCCGGAGACATGTTCCGGGAACAATGATAGGAATGCCTTTAATCGCACCCGAGCAGGCTGCGGTGGATACCGTTCCCAAAAGAACTGCGGTTTTTCTGTATTTGGCTGACCTCGGATGAGCTGTGAACGCGAGCAATATGATGTCGATGCTCATGTGCTTCTTCGTGTGAGAGAACTTTTTTAGCAGAAAATAGCTTTCATGCTCACACTTTGAGTTCTCCAGAAGGCTGAAGAAATCACGACGAAATGAGATCCAAAGAACCCAACAACTTCCCGCTACTCGACTTATCTAATAGCCTCGTCCCAATACAGCGACAGACAGCGACAAACAACAGCGACAACGAGCGACGAACAACACTGACAGACAGCCTGTTTGTTCGGGTCTGCCGTCCCACCTGGCGGATGCGACGCAGAACACGGGGACAAGGAAACTTGTTTCCTAGTGCGACTGGAGTTGTCAACAAAACACTTGAAAATACACAGATAAACAGAGTTGGGCGACGCGGTTTTCGTGTTCCGCTCTTTGGGTGCAAAAAGCGCCGACAAACACGGTGAAGGTAGAGACAATTACTTTTCTTCTTGATTAAAGCTTCTGCTTAGCTTTTATTTGCCAATGCCAACTTTCTGCAAACCATCGCGAATATCGACACCAAACTTTTTCCGAACCCGAATTCCCGAATCGTTCTTTGTTTGGGACGTTCGAGGCACTCGAGGTGAGCACCGCGGAATTTCACACCGATTTCGCGGGAGTTTAGATCCAAATAGTCGAGGGCAGATTTTTTTTAGGAACATACGGCATCTCAACTTTGACAGAGAGTGATGACAAATCTCTTGTCTGCCAGAAAGGCTTGCCGGAACGTTGTGTCCTACTTTGTGGTAAGCCGTCCTACATTGGTCAGACCTCTCATCTCTGGCGTATCCATCCTGAGGCAGGGGCGCAGACCACAGCGTCTTGAAGCATTGCCTCGTGCACCAGGTTTTCGCGAACAAAACCAGCCACAGCAAATTCCCTTTCACAACACGACCGCCACCGAGCAAGCCACGACCACTATGAGATGTAGAGTAGGAAGCCCAGGTGGCCACCAAGGCCTTCTTCTAAAGCTGAGCGCCCCGAACGAACCACGGGAGGAATGGGAGGAAGGGTGGGAAGAGAGGCAGCAGGCGGTACAAGCGGGTGAGAAGGATAAGTTCGTCTCCGAGAGATGTTTCTCGGTGGGATTGTTAGGGGGATCGGTGACCGAGTGGGCTAACGCGTCTCTGCTCGGAGCGTGGAGCAAAAGCTTGCGCTGCAGAACCTTCTGGGCTCTATCCCCCACCCGCTGCCCGTTTCGATAAGCATCGTATCGGCACGTGTTCGTGTAACCGCTAGTGCGTGGCACACATTAAAGCCCCCAGGTTAGCGGTTGTACTGCACTGGCTAAATTTCTCGTCTACAACTGAGAGACAAGACACCCTTTGAGGAGTACCAACTTCAAGGCTGTCTAAACATACAAGCAACACAATTTGTAGGGAAAGTTCGCGGCGCTTCAAGTGAGACGACAAACAAGAACTGGTACGTCGTCGATCGTCTTTCAGCGGTGTTTGTCGCTAAAGTGGGACAGGATCAGCTGTCCCACTTTAGCGTGGGACAGCTGATCCTGTCCCACGCTAAAGGCTATAAGAGTAACCACACGCTGCAAAACGACTCCAAGCGACAAAGCCAATCAACTTCCCGCGTCAGGAGAAAATCGGGTAGTATCAAACACTAAGCACCACCAAGAGCAGGGAAACGCTACAATGACAACAAGACGACGCGCGACCCCAAATGTCAGTGGCTACCGTCTACGAAAGGAAACAAGTAGCCTCTCGTATCCTTTTGGAATGTACTACGCTTGGAGTGGCGACCTTCCGAATGTCTGTCCGAAGCCAAGCTACGCGCGCGGGTAGCCAAACAACGCTCACCGCCTTCTCCAAATGGGACTGCGCCAGATCCGTGTTGTTCGTGTACTGGAGCAAATTCATGCCCAGCTGAAGGTGCGTCAGGGCCTCGACCCTCGGCGCTGGGTTCAACTGGAAGATGGCCAACAGACATCGGATGCAGTTCTTCATGCTAGGGGGGCTCATCGTGCGGAATTCTTCGGCCAAACCCAGCAAGGCCAGGTAGGTAGCATCTGGCGCCGAGGACGCCATGATTGTTTCTTGACCCGCACAGCCACTCTGGCTGGGATTGGCTTGGATATCGTTGCGCACATCTACCGGCTCGTTTCGCATTTCGTCTTTCGTCTAGTTTTGATTTGATCCAATCCGTTGATCCAGAAGGATCCAAAGCAAGTCAACAAGTCTGCGCGCGAAAGTAGCGAAAGGAAGGCGGGCTCGGTAGCAAGACTCATCGCCTCGGAAAATTCAGCGCGAAAGCTGCTTGACTGCAGCGTACAGTACTGTAGCTGAGCGGACTCTTACAAGGTCCTAGATTCGAGCCCAAAGAGACGAAGTATGGACGACGACGACATTGAGATGGTCTACCCCGAGGCTGTGGTAAGGCTGATTGGGAGCGATCTTGCTCGATAGCTGCATTCGCGGTTTCGGCGTTGTGCCAAGCAGAAAACTTCGTTTCACGCGCGCTCGCGCGTGCACCGACTTTTGACGCCCATCACATCGCGTGCACTTGGCTCTTGCCAGGTCCTATTAGCCGTTTGAGGCATCACAGACCTACCTACGTCTTTGGTCCTGTCGCATTCTGTGGTAACTTGACCCTACAGGGTACCAGTATACTTGTCCCAATTTAGCCTTAGGCAAGGCTAAATTGGGACAGTCCTTCCCTGCATGCTTCAGTGACCTCCAACGTTCGCTCTGCTAAAGTGGAAACAGGTGGGAGGAGCTTCCCTTGAACTTTTAACCTGTCGCCAACTACAGGTGTTATTGGTGTGATCGATTAAATGAAGAGTGAATATGTGCATAAAAGTGGGTGCAACTACTATGCACACAGCTGTCACTGTTACTTCCTTGCACAACATGTCGGAAAGCTGCGGATTTTTTAGAGACCACAATTCGGAGAGGGATTGATGAATACTGCACAACCATAAATCCATATCAAAATTATGTCTTCGTCCCTAATATTAGTTCCCGAATAATATTCCTCCATCAACTGTGTCAATTGAAACTAGGAGCTTTGTTCATGACACCATGATTCGTTGGCGGATGACCGGCGCAAACTTCGAGAGACAACTGCGGCTGAAACTGAACAAGGGGTAGAGTACAAAAAAGGAAAAAGAAAAAATGTATAAATGCGGAACACCTATCTAAATGTGTATATGTGCTACCGTAATAAAAAAGAAGTTGTATGAAAAGTAACATGGGAAGTAATAGATTACTTTAGAGTAATTTTTCGATTACTTTTTTGAGACTAATTGTAATGATAATTGGTTACTTTTTAGAGTGAAGTAATTGTAATTGTAATTGGTCACTTCTTTTCAGTAACGTGTACAAGTCTGCGTGATCCTGCTCTTTTACAATCAGATTTAGATAAAATATCCAGTTGGTGTCGGACGTGGGAATTAAGTCTCAGTGCTGACAAGTGTGTCCACGTCACTTTCGGGGAAAAACGCGATAGCATCTTATCGTGTTATTCTATTATCGACATTTACATAGAAACATGCATGTCGTCATTTTATCAAGCGGTCTTTCTTTTAATGCTCATATAACACAATCTGTTCAAAAGGCTGGTGGAATGTTAAATTTTATTAACAGAAATCTATGCGGTGCTTCAAAAGAGCTAGAAGAAACTGCTTACTGTTGCTTGGTAAGACTGATGCTTGAATATGCGTGTGTTCTGTGGGACCCACAGAACATACGCATATTTAGGCATCACATATTTATGTGTACCTTGCCATTAAAGTAGAAAAAATTCAAAACCGTGCTACAAGGCTTGTATCGGGAAAGTACAATTGAACATCCAGTGGGACAGAAATTGAATGTAAGATCGGTTGGGAACTATTAAATTTAAAGAGAAAGAAATTTTGTCTAAAGTTTTTATTTTCTATTTTTAGTAACTTAACTAGAATTGATAAATATAAATATCTTTAATTATCTATTTTTCAACCAGAATAGATCATTGTAACAAGATCAAAGAAATATTTTGCCGAACTGATTATAAAAAAGACTCATTTTTCCCTCATACAATAACGGATTGGAATTCATTGCCTGCATCAGCATTTACTACAGATGACGTAGGATATTTTTTTCAGTATCCTAAATTTTTAACATTCAAGAGTTTAAAAACAAATACCTCCGACTTGCGTAACAATATCAACATTTACCAGCATTTTTGCATATATTCAAGAGTTTGTGTGTGTTCTTTTATTTAACGGTATTTATTGTATGTTTGCCATTGTATTTATGTTTGTGATTACATGTTTATCTTGTGTTTCCCTGCTTTCCCTGTTTCCCTTTGGCGCTGCAGGTTGTTTCTGTAAATAATAAATAGACAACTCTGGAGTAATGGTGTTCAACAACGAAAAGAGGGAACCCCTGAAAATACAAGAGGGCGATATAGACTATGCAGAAAAATACAAATATCTTGAAGTATGGCTTAATGAGGGAAGGAAATACTTGGAGGAAAATTACAGGAATATATTTAGGAAAGGGGAAAGAAATTCAGGCATAAAGAAACTTGACGCCTTTTGGAATCATAATATATACGAAGTGGTCAGGGGTGTATGGAAAGGAGTAACGGTGCCAAGACTGTCTTTTGGCAACAGGCTACTGTGTGTGATTGGAAATTCCACAAAGAAGCATGGGCAGGTTAGCACTGGGAGTGCATGGGAACACACCAAATGAGGGAGTTCAGGGGCAGAGCCGTATATGTAGAGAGTTTGGCCATTCGTTGGGAAGTATACGAGACAAATGAGGAGGCGCCATTGGCCGAAAGCGGGCTGGGCGTGTTCCAGGGCGTCTTCAGAAATTCGAATGTGACCAACCAGAAGCCGGAAATAATACTCTGGCGGTGGTCACGAGAAACAAACCTGATAACTGCATTAGAGGAACTCTCGATGACTGAAAATATGGTACACGTGATTTTCAATCATGCTCATCCAAAATGACGGTGGAAGAGTGTGACTAGCGGAACGATCGACATAATCCGTACGCCAAGTGCCGAGAATCTGCCGTCCGAGCGGTCACACTCTGTCCGAGCAAAACAGAGTTAAGCGGCGCATTCGTTTCTTACATCTTTCTGCATGATCATGATCAAAACAATACGTGCACCCTATTTTCAACCACAAAGAGTTGCTACACTTCAATCTTGCGCGCTTATTAAAACCATTTACGAACATAGACCTTTGATCAGAACTGTTTCTCGCTACGACCACTAGGGGATTCTTTTCGGCTTCTGGTTGGTCAAGAGAGCATGCCAAGCCCTCTTTCCGAGTCTGGTGCACGCCCTGGCTCTGCCCGCGCCTCCCATTGACCAAACTCTCTACATATACGGCTCTGTACAGGGGGACATGGGCTGGTCGTCCTTTGAGAGTAGGGAGGCAATTAGTAAATTGAAATTTGAAGTAAGTTTAACTGAAATGGATGATACCCGGTGGGCATGGAAAGTGGTCACGTATTTATACCTGAAATGTTTAAATGCAAAATGGACAAGCCGAAGCTGAACGCCAACATTTAGATATGTGCACACTAGTGGTGGGGCTGAGCAATCAAGTTCAGTGAAAAAGAGAGTGGAAGGGGCAGAAAGAAAAATGTGGTAAGGAATAATGCAAGAAAAATCAGCTTTAACAAGGTACAGGCCACAAAAACAGGAAAGGAAAAGGTGCTTGATAATTCACATGGAAGTTCTTTGCTGTTCAAAGCGAGAACGGGAGCGCAAGACAAATCGGGCTAAATTTCAATAGTCAATGTGTGCCACAGTGAGAGTGAGAGGCTAGAGCATTTGGTTGTGAAGTGTACAGGCTTTGCCCTCCCTGAAGGGGTAACGGATCTGGTGGGGGCACTGGGTTTTGCTGACAAGGATGGAAGAATGGAGGAGAAAAGGATTACGGTCACATGGAGGAGGTTAGAAGATTAGTGGAAATTGTCCAGGGAAAATTGATTGAAGTACTATAACTAACTAGCACAGGCTGGGGACAGGGGGGACAGAGGAAAATTGGGACTCTCTCCCACGTGGCTCCGGCCCAAAGCCTCAACCCTGTCTCCCAGTGGGCCTGACGTTGAGGTAATGCCGACTATGTTTGACCAGAGGAAAATTGGCCACTCCCTCGCTGGGGGGAGGAGGCCCGATTTCCCAAAGGCCATCTTGGTGATGTCCCATGCTGCCTGGTAATATTTTTGGTTCTAGGCTAGGTGGCGCAAGCTACTGCCCGTTATAAAGGGTATAGCCATTAGCATCCATCCAGCAGCAGACAGGGGTTCACTGTTTGGGCTGTAGGATTTGTTTCCAAGTGATGTCATCAAATAAATGCTTTGGAAGCTGTTCATTTTCATTCATACACTCATTCGGTGTTTTCCATATTTAATTTTGCATCGTCATATTTTAGTTGTGGTATCATGAAGATTCCGGTCATTCCGGTCATGCTTTTAACTTTCAGCTGTATGCGCTTCCTGCCGTTTACATACCCAATTTTCTAGATTATGGTCTGTACTTGTTGTATATGCTTATGTTATGCCTTTTTACCCACCCTCTCCGTAATGCTTTGGCCTTGAGAGTAAGTAAATAAATGCAGTCCGCAAAAACATATTTTGGTAAAAAAAAAAAAAAGTTTTTTTATAAATAGTTTGCATCTTCTGCATAGTCCACACCTAGCGCATATTCTGTGTGTTCTCTCACACAGCGCACCTAAAAATTCCGTGCTTTTTTAATGCACACAATGCTTGTATCTTACCAAAATCAATATTAACATAATTTGTCGATCCTAAAATCCATCACATCACATCCTAGTGGACAATCTTGAAAAAGAGTAACAACAAATCCTAGTCTGCACCGCATACAAAATGTAAACTTTTGAAATTTTGACCGTCTATGATTTGCCTCAAAATTAGTTCTACGAATTAATAGACACACCTAAACTAGTAACCCAAATTGCATATCAAAATAATTTCTTTTTACAAAGTTATTTAATTTTTAAGTTTGGTCTGAGAGGCTGAGAGGCTCTACTGGCAACACTGAAAACGTGACAAGAAATGGTGTAATTTAAATCAAATTTGAGCAGTACGGCTTTTTTCCGACAAGTTAGAACAAGTTTGGCGGTGTAAAACAAACACCAGCAAAATGAAAAAAAAAAAGAACTCGTAAAATACTGTGTTTTCTAGGTTGTCTGCTTGACTTGCAAGTACTACGTGTGACGTCACACAATATCACCTAGAAGACAAGGCCTGTGCACCCCACTAAAAAGTGTGGAAAAATTTGAATGGCGGTTTTGGCGTAGCATTTATTGGCCCTTTTCTCAATGGCTATTTTGCATTTAGAAATAATCAGCAGCATGCCGGGAAGAGAAAAGCCTAGGTATTTTGAAAACATGTCTAGCTTGGGCAGCGCGTAACACCGCCAAAGCTCTCCTTTAAACGTGCATGGTCTACAGACTCTAGTCCGGAAAGTATGGTATTGATGTGAACCGTAAGGGACCAGTGCCTCGTCAGGCTTGTTAGTCTTTTGTACCGGCCCTTTTGGGGTGAAATCGCCTGATTGGAAATCAACTGTTCCCAACTCGGATTCAATGGGGACCTATTGGGGTGCAACGGGGACCACTTGGAGGACCAACTGGGACCAGTTAGGGATCGGTCTTATCTTACCTTTCCCGGTTCGACTCTTTTAGACCCTCCAAAAGAAAACAAAATTCCCGTCTGCCTTTGACTCGCAACGTCTTTCTGGGCATCACCACATGGACGCCTTGCAGGAGGAGGAGGAGGGAGCTGTCGCGGCCGGAGGCGAGGGTTCGGACGACCAGGGTGGCCAAGAGGCCGAGGAAGCGGGAACGGCGGGTGCCAAGAAGGTCAAGAACGTCGTCCGCAGGCCGCAGCCAAAGCTGAACGTGGACAGGTGATGACCTCGGCCACGCCGGATGCCGTCGAAACACCGACTCGCTACAAACGACGCCCTGGCTAAGACGGCCGCTCGAGGGAATGCACTGCAGGCTCATCTTCTTTAGCAGGGCGAAAGAATTTGCTCTGCTAAAGTGAAACGAGTGGAGTGGGAGAAGCTTTTCTTGCTTTTCTTAACCGGCAACAGACTATAGCGTGTGAGGGAAGCATCTCGTCAAATAGAGTCTCGGATGCTCGCAGGCCCCTGGGCTCAGCAAACTTTAGTTTTCACAGTGTTAACCAAGGTGCCATTTCTAGCTGGCCGGCTCTGGCCTGCCTTTGCCCCCTTACTCTGGGGGACTGCACTAATCGGCAGGAAAGACGGAAACAGATGCCTATGTACCTCTCCTCGGCCCAGGAGGGTACCCCGGGGTAAATTATTGGGACTGTTTATTTGATTAAGTAAAAAACAAGCGAGTTGGTAACAGTTTTCAGCATGAAGAAGGTAACACAGATAGGGGTTCGGACAACAGTGACTTCCAAGGTCGGTTGCTTAGGTCAGGTTAGGTTAGGAAGTCATTGTTATCCGTCCCCTTCTCTGTGTTACCTTCCTCATGTTGGATAGGGTTTATTTGATTTAAATCGAAATAATTTGGTTTAAATTAACGTTGCTTGAAAAAAGTAATTCTTTATCACTAGACATATTTTTAAACATTGTAGATTATTTATCACTTCGTCCAATCACGTAAAACAATGCGGAATAAAGAATTACTGTAAATTTAAATTTTTAAAGTGCAATTTATTTTACAAACTTTATTGATGTAAACCCCACCACTTAGAACAAAATCAGCTTTTTCTTTTTTTTTTTTTGGTAAAAAGCTTTATTTGATTTCTTTTGTATGTTCTGATTTGCTTGCAATAGAACATTGATTTTCTTGTTTTTGTTTCCTTCACATTTTAATTTGCTCGCAGAGACCCAAAGCTAAAGCTCTCCCACCCCTGACTGTGGAAAACTCAACTTTGCAGACTCACGAGTGCAAAGGGGCTTCCTGTGCTCATCGAGATGACCAAAACCACCAAGTTTAAGGGGAAGGGCCATGAGGTGAGTGGCGGGTTTGTACGTCCCAGTAAAAGTGAAACATTACTTTCGGAATGGACGTTTTGCTGAATTACCCGAGCACCAAAGAGAATGCCAGGAACGTAGGTAAATGCACTGCACATGCTGGCGTCTGCAGCGGTAACCCTTTGAGATCAAAACTCTAGAACAAATGGCACTTCGCATGTGTGTTTCTCAATGCCCTATTTTTGTTATTTCTTTTTAATCTTTTATACAGGGGATGTGTTCAGCGTTTGTATCTACATTCTCAGCTTTCTCTTTGGTGCTTGGGTAATTTAGTGAAAGGATTATTCATCATCATCTTGAAAACCCTAGACTTGAGGACAGAAATGTGGACAGCACACAGCTGTGTGTTGTCCCCTTTTTTTTCCCCAAGTCGGGTTTTCGAGATGTAAGTTCACCAGCTCGCCTGTATGTTTTCTGTTATTTCTACGGAGTATTAATGTTTATGTTTCAGTCCAACGCACCCTTCGGTAGTAGCTGTCCTTGAAGCAGTACCACAAACTACTACGCAGTCGTGCAGTTAAACCTCAATGGTTGGTAGAATTCGCAACTTGCTTTTTTATGCTGAAATTTTGGTAAATTAAAATTTGGCGCTTGTCATGCAGAAAAGATTTCTGAAGAAGCCGGCTTCTGGCTTTACACTGCATAACGCTATAAGTGGAGACACTGCACTGGCGCATCGCATTTCACTTCGGAAAGGTATTGGTGGCGCATGCAAACTATAGGGGCTCTTCTTTAGCGCTGTCATCATCATCGTTTGTGACATAGTGGGTAGGGAACACGGCAAAACCTGTTTCACATATTATGTTTATTTCATAAAGTGATATTTCTGGTAGAACATTTGATCGAAGGTTGAAGACTGACACGATAGCCGTGCTAAGCAAGTACTTTTTGTGATAAAGCATCGAAGCTCCGGGATGTTAATTGTTAGAACGGAATGAACGGTTTTGTAGACTGTAAAAGGATGTAATGAAAACTTTGAGAAATAATTTGATACAAGAGGGGCTATATTCGCGTCCGCTTTCGTTCCTGTCGTAGTTGAATCTGTCTCTTTGTCTCCTTCAATTCCTGTTGCTCGTGTTTCTCGCGTCTTCCTTCTCTCTCACTCCCACGCCGGGGAGCCGGCATCGGGGGTCAAAGTCGACTTGGTTGGATTCCGCTCGCATCATCCGGTCAAGGCGAGGGAGGCTCTCCTTACGCGTCTTGGCCGCTAGCATATTCGCTTACATAATGCACCATTCAATATCCTAGTACTAAAGTGTCGGATAATGAAAATAGAATGTCCAGCATTTCACCCCAGTAGTACAACTCCTGCCACGGTGAATAGGGTGCAATTCGAATGATATGAAACTGACGAAGGATGGGTCATCAATTTGAAAGTGGGCATGCCAAACTCGAGAATGTCTCAGGTGCATAGCAAACACTTCATTCACTACTCACTCACTACATTATCACTTCAATGAAAGCTGCTTCGCTTACCCTCTTGGTCCTACTGTGTTCTGCAAATGTTTGTCTCATTAATTCCAAATTGGTTCCTTTCTGCATTTTCTAAAGTTGTAAGCAAACGTTTTCCCAAAACAACTGGTGGTGACTGGCTCTCAGAGTCGTTTCAACTGAACTTGCCCGATTATTTGCTCTTATTCCCGATCAACACGAAATGTGCAAAACTATTTCCGCAATCAAAACCTTGAAGATCTAGTAGTAAGTCGGTTACATTTCCCAAGAAATGAGTTATATACCTGACCATTAGGACCACCTGTGTGTTTGTTTATGCAAACCCAAAGAATTGTGCAAAATGTGCGGTGCACTTCTCAGCAAGAGATTTTTGAATTTATAATCAATTAGTAACTTATAACCTGCCACCCTAGCTATGGGGTTTATTAATGCGAAAGCATTAACTGTCTCATGGAGCGAGCTGACGTCATCAGTCTGAAGCGCGAACACGGCAGATAGTTTCCTTCGGTTCCATCGGCTGGCGTGCGTCGACGGGACTCCCATTGGCCGCTGTGCTCGTCAGTTTCCACGACCGCTCACCCCATGGCGCTGCGTGTCCATCAGTGCAGAGCGTCCAAGGTTACAAGAGAGCACACGCGCCGACCGGCGACGAAAAGTATGCGGCAGACAGAAAAGGGAGCGGAAGAGCGGCTTGCATGCTTTCGCATTCACAACTTATAATGAATGCTTAGGTGTACCTCAATTTTTTTCTCGTGAAATTCGGAGTGTTTTTTGGAGTTTATTTTTTACCGAAAATTTGGAGTTTATGGGAGTTTATGATAGATTCCAGATCCTCAGACATTCAGAGTTTGTTTTTTTATGTGTGTTTGATTGCAGATAAAAAAAACAAATATTATCCGGACACAAACCTGTCCTAAATTCATAAGAACTCACCTGCATCAGATGATATTTTTTGAGCTAGCTGGATTGGGCATTTGCCCCATTGCCATGGATAACACTAACTGTCCTTTCAGACGAGTGTTGCTTTAATAAATTTTAATACTTCAAAATTAGTGAAATATTTGGCCTAGTAGTCTTTGTAAAGCTTGTTTCCATTCCATTTCACTGCTCGAATCTGCGGCTGTGCGGGGTGGACTAGTTCTTTAGCTGCCCCCCTTCCCCTATGATCATAGCTTCCACTGCAAGAAAACACAGCCCCGCCTTCTAAGAACTCCAAACTGAAATCCAGAACGGCGTCTTTTGACGTGACCCAGAATCACCATTATGGTCCTGGACAAAACTTGGTGAGATGAAAGGCGAACCCCTTTTTGTCAATAGTCCGAGATCTTGGAGAAAAATGGAGGGTCCTTGCCTCAGGACCACTGACCCTGTGCCCTAATCAAGCTTATTCGTAGAATACCGCAAATTTTCTTTTTTCGCTATTGTGACATTGTGACACTCGCATTCCCTCATCTTTTTTGCCAGGACTTCTGAGGCCAATTGCCGAAATTGCGACGTCCAGCACTGCGACCACTTTAAAGGGACACTAAACCACTTTCAGCGATAGTCTATCTGTGGTCCTAAAATCATCCTAAAGCATCCCAAAAAGGCATTTTAATCTGTGCGTTCATCGTTTCGCGTATCGTGGGACTCGCGGGGACGGCGTGGGACCTCTATTTCAGAACTGTCGTTCGCGGTACCGGCGAATTCTGTCTACCTTTAAAAGAGAAAAGAACCAAACATCACATTCATGCGTGGTTGATTTCTCTATTAAAATTTATCTTTGAGACCGATTGTAATAGAGAAATCAGCCACAGATAAATGCAATGTTTGGTTCTTAGGATGCTTAGAGCCCATATATGACCATGAATAGACTATCGCAGAAAGTGGTTTTGTGCCCATTTAAATGCAAGGCTGGTATAGGACGCTAAAGACACAAGTCAGGAGATGCATTCCAGACATCATATTATCTGGGGGCTCTGTCCTGCTCGCGGCTTTGTCCTTGCTGCAACGCAAAGCCGCGAGCAAGCGGCTTTGCGCTGCCGTCCGCCCGTGTAATTGGATGTCGATGCCGTCTGCCCGTTGCAGCTGGAAGACCTGGACACCATTCTGGGAGTGCTGGACCACTGGGCTCACAGGACCTTTCCCCGCTTCCACTCGGAGTTCTTCTACCAGCGCCTAGAAAGCCTGGGGAAGAAGCGGCAGTTACAGGTGAGACTGCTCCTATCAAGGGCTGTCGAAACATTACACAACAGATGTCATGCAAAGTAAAATAAAATGTGCATGCTTCTCAAAAAGAGTGAAAGTTGCGGCATGCGCATACATTTTCAGCGAGGACGTGAACCGTGCAAACCACATGACTTTCCACCTCGCCTTTCGCTGCCGTCTCTTTACCTTTCTTGTTTTCGGGAGATTGAGGACCAACAGCAACAAGAGGTTTTGACAACAACCAACAGAGCGTGTGAGTGGCTGTCTGAACCACCGTGACGAGTGCGCTCCAAGCCTCTGTTCAAAGACGTAAGTGGAAGGTAGCTTTCTCCCCCGGCAGGAAAACCGTCCCAAAGTAGACCAGAATCCCCAGAACCAGTGCCCCCTCTGAGGCGTTTTCACATGGCATCTGTCCACCATTTTGTAGTGTAAAAGTGAGAAAATGTTTTCTTTATTGGATGAAAAAAAAAGGTGCAATGAAACATAAGCTTTTGTGCACTACCAGTTTGAGGGCATCATGTTAATTTTCGGAATGCTCACCTTTAGAGCTCGCCTTTAGAGTGCACTGGAAGGCTCATGACAACAAGATGTTGGACGCAATTGCGTCAGTGTAAACGCCCCATAGCTCGGTCTCCTCGCCAATAACCCCTCGGAGAATCTCCTACACCTTGGGTGTTGGTGCTTGGTGAGCGGTGTCGCCACGGACCCCGGCCACATGCCACCAGCAGGGGACACCTGCATTAGTGGGTGTTTGGTGAGGGGCGTCACCATGAATGCCGAGCCATGCGGGTTCAACAACCCATGACTGGATGTGTGTGGCTTAGCCTGTGTTTGGGGAAAAATGGGATCCTAATGGTTGAGTCGAGTCCGGAGTTTGTTTGGAGTGGACTCTTGGGGGCCCCCAGGGCGAGGCAATATACTACCATGCACTCCGGCTTCTGGATCCCATAGACAGTTTTCTTTCTTCGTCTGACGAGAATGATTCAGTCAGTCACCTTTTCTATCCTCTTCTTCCTTTCACTTTTGTCTACACCTCTTTCTCCTCTCTTCCTTCCTTTTTTACCTTCTTAGGCGGGAAAGGCCAACCTTGGTTGGAAACAGGTCCTCTACCTGCAACCACACTTAGGTGTCGTGCCTCGGCAGCTCTGGTAGGGTAATTGTATTAGCCAAGCCATGCTTGCTGTGGCACATCACCTGCCTCCTTGTTGGGCTCCGTGGTGGGCGGCGTACCCGGGCAGCGAATCTTCCTCCCGTCTTTTATGGGTCCTAAACTACAACCTCCCGGTCGACCTATGAAAAGAGGTTGCACCGAAGTCATTGAAATTGCCACAAAGTCTCCTGATCTGTTCAAATTTCCGAAGTTTTTTGTTTTACACTCTGAGGGGAAAAAGCCACTTGCCAAACTTTCCCCCTTTTTAGTCTCCAAAGTACACGAAAGTGTTGTCGGCACAAACTTCAGTGCCAAATAAGATGGCATCAGGCAACCCTCTCGTTGAGAAAAACACAAAGAAGCAGGGTGAAGCACTACTGGCCCTGAACACCATTTCAGACTATAAAGGCCCATTCACACACTTGCAACCGAGTACGACCGAGAGAGACAAGATCTGTTCAAACCTTTTAAAATTTCTTAGAACGGGAGAACACGCTGGCACCATCTATGCGGTGACCCTGGAACTGCATTTCACCGGAGCGAAGATTTTGCGGAATTTCCAAAGTCAAATGTGCGTAATACCTATGAGAAAGGCTCGTTTATAACGTTCACAATTTTTCGAGACAAGGAAAGGGTAATGTGCGAGAGAAATAGAAAATATGCCGGACTGCCAAGTTTACACTGCTGCCCAATAGATGGAGCCAGTGTGTCCTCTCGTCGTTAAGAGATATTAGGTTCCAAGGCACTCCATTCTAAGAGGTCGCATGTGTGTGAATAGGCTTTAAGGTGAGTGTGACTCCTTACCGAAAGTGGAACGCTGTCCAAGGGGTCACCTCTGAAGATGACTTACTACTTGACACAACAGATCCAGAGCTAGTTGAGGATCTCTCTATCCAGAGAGTTGTTGCAGGGCGATGCATCATCATGTACTGTGACGGTGAACAACGCAAAACAAGCAATGTTATCTTGACCTTTGACTCAACGACTCTTCCAACTTCTGCCAAGAGAAGTTACCCTCAGTGCCGTGTCCGGCCCTATGTGCTGATCCCTTGGCAGTGCTTTAAGTGCCAGTGGTTCGGTCTTGGGTCGTGGAGCTGTCAGAAAGCCGGCACTTATGCTAAGTGCTGTGGGATTCTTTACGGAGATCCCTCCACTAATAATCGCCGCCCGATCGGTATGCGCTCCGCCTGTCACCCAAGGAGTGATATAACAACGAGAAGACAGCGAATGGGTTTACTCTACCTCTCGGTTGCCCGTCGTCGAGAACCGGCAGTCCAGGCCCGCTGACCCTTGTTGTCGCCCGTCGATCAGAGCTCACAGTCGGAGTTTGTGTCCAGGCCTGCGGATCGCCTTTCCCACGCCAGCGCTGTGTAGGCTGGCTGTCTCGGGCTATCAATGCCCGAGTCTCGCTGTGGAACCACCCCGGGATCGTCGTAGCCCAGGTCATATGGCCAGGGCTCGCCGTTTCCACCGGTCCAGACTTCGAACCTCGCTGGTGGACCACTCCGGGGTTCGCCATGGGCCAGGCCAGGCAGCCCGGCTCCGACGTTCTTGTCCAGCTCCATCCTCGCTCAGCTCGCACTGTCTCGCGACAGCTCATGACTTCTCCGCCGACCGCCTGTCACGTGCCCTCTGCCTCGTCTTTCACCCTCGGCTCCCACAGTGCTCCGGTAAAGAGGATGTTGCTGACACTTGCGACGATGATCCAAAATGTGCAAACTGTGTCAGTCGCTACCCAGCCTATTCCCGCACCTGTCCGCCATGAAAGCAAGAAAAGGAAATCCTTACTCTGAAGACCAATGAAAATATTTCCTACCTTGAGGCAACAAAACGCTTTTCTTTCCCATCAAAAGGCCAATATGTCGAGGTTGCACGTAGAGGACCTGCATGGCCAGTATAATGGCATCGACAGAAACCAGATGTCTCCAGGCGACCTGCGGGGCCCTTCAACGTCCCCACCAAAACCTACGGAGACGGTGCCAGCGGCACCGTGTGCTGAGCCCAGGGGGTGCTGGCCTGCCAGCATCCACCCCGGAACAGGCGATGACTCCCTCTGCCTCTTTGCTTCCTCAAGGCCGGAACCAGTCAGCCCGAACCTCTGCCCCAAGGAACCCCTGTCAGCCGTCAATGCAGTCAGCCCCTAAAGGCCAGCTGACGGCGTCACGGGAAGAGCCCATGGACATGAGTAGACTCTGATCCGACGAGGAGGTTCTCCTCTCGGAATCGGAGTCCTCTCTTTCTGCCCCTACTTACTCTAGTTAAAGACAGCATTAAAAAATTAGTTTTAAATTGTAGTATTGTTTTAGTGTGCAGCTCTTAAGCGCCCATTTCTACGTTTTGCAACGTCGCTGTCGCTGCCCTGCTAAATTTAGCGGGAAATCGAATTGGTGTTGTGATGTCAATTTTCCCACTAAATCTAGTGGAGAAACTGAATTTGTTCATGGGTGATGTGACACGAAGTCATGTGACGTCATGAAAAGTGCTTCAGCTTCCCTTTAAGGGGATGGTGAACCGAAATTTGGATTTCAGAAAACAATGCAGGAGCGGTAGGCAGGAGGCTACAATCCATACAACACCACACACAAGGCGATATCTCGAACGGACGGCCGTATTTTTGGAAAAAGAGGTCGAGATTGAACAAGGCCGACGAGGTGCGTGACGTGAACATATCTCGTTTCCGCATCTTTTCGCTTCGCGCCCTCAAGGCGGCAAGGCAAAGAAGACGCGAGGCTATTTCCTCTCCTTCTCGACTTTTTTCGGAGAAACAACGTCAACATACCTGTCAAATGCACCTCCTTTTTTTAAAACAATACAATCATCCAACCGACATATCGCTGTACGAGTGATGTTTTGGTGTTCGTAGCATCCCGTTGCATGCTTCTGCCGTCATGTTTTGTGCAATCCAGATCTCAGTTCAGCATCCCCTTATAGGCCGACGACAAGACTCGAGATTCTGCAAGGCAGAAGATCCACCTCACCATGAGGGAGGAGAAACAGGCAGTGGCGGACAGGGTAGAAGGAGGAAGCAAAAGAAAAGTCGAAAGCGTGAATTGGTTGCCGGTCTTTATAGGGACACTGACAGGGTATTTATGCTTGCCAAGGTTTTTAGTTGTACATGACATATGAGAGCCCAACTACCCAGAACACAATTTGCGGCTCGAAATTCGGTTTCTTTCCGCCCGAAAACCGCCGATCAAGAACTGGCCGGTTCGAGTCTCGCTCACTCTGTTTTCCGTGGTCACGGGTCGTTTTCTAAGGTTTCGACGCGACCACCAAATTTAATCAAAGTCGTTGATCACTGAAGGCACACACTCACTAGTAAAAATAGAAAAAAAATATAAAACCCATTTTTTGTGGCTTCTAAAAAGCTGCAAATACGTTGATTGAAAAAAAAAAAAAGTTTCACAGAGAACCGGAAGCATTCTGTGCATACGTCGTTTTGCGTATCATGGGAAAAACGGGGACGGCGATGTCAGCGAACGACGGGCGTGGGACCTCTACTTCAGAACTGTTGCTCGCAGTACCGGCAAATTCTGTCTGCCTTAAAAAGAGAAATTTGGGACTGATCAAAAGAATTGGTATTCATCCCATACTACATGCTCGACCACCACGAATCGGCAGCAAACTTTCCAACTTGCAGTTTACCAGCTGCATTCCCAGTAGCTCAGTGAAAAGACATCCGCTTCACACGCGGCTGGACCTGGTTCAATCCCCAGTGAATGCATACCTTTTTTTTTTTTTCAAACATTTTGCAATGTTTACATTTCTTTTTTTTACAATTATCACTGAAGAAACAAACGAAAAAATAGCAAACAAATGTTGTGGGCGAAACGTCGCTGAACTAGAACTAAAT